TCATTAGAATCGTTAGACGACAGAATCGCGATTCATATATGAATAGATGTTTACGTGCAGCTCTAGTTTTCTCTTCCTCTTCTCTAAAGCAGCGCAGCATGGCCTCGCCTCCTTGTTACATGTTCTCGAGGGCGGGGTTTATCTGGGTTCGTGACGTAACGAACCCGGGAAGTAACTGGATGTAGTCCCTATGAGCCGTTTTTGTAGGCATTAAGCTGCCAGAATTTTAAAAGACGATATCTCCGTTTGCATTGAGCTTTCAGCGCCTGAATACAGTGTTGGGAAGTTACTTTGGAAATGTAATAGGTTACAGATTACAAATAAGTAGCGTAACTATTTCAATTACTTTATTAAAGTAATGTAACTGATTACAATTACATTTATTTTGTAATTAAACTATGTAATTTAGTTACATGTAACTAGTTACTCCCTGGCACTGAATGAATCTATATTTAACAATTCTATTATTATTTTTACTCAAACTGTCCATCAGTTGTGGCGTCATTTTCATCACAGCCAACAGTTTTGCACTTCATGAAGTTTGTTAAAGTGTTATTTGTTACCTAGGAGACAACAGGGTTGGTGAATAGCCCAGATGTAATAAGAGATGTAAAGAACACAAAGAAAAAACATAAATATCATTTGAACAGAACATAATATTTTTGTGTTTTTATTTTCAATCAAGCTGTAATTTTATCGAATCTTGTGAAAATATGTAATTGTCTGTAAATTGTATATAATTGTGTATGTGTTTAGGATTAAATGCTAGTTTTAAAATTAGCCACAACAAGACAAAAGAGTCACACTTTCATTTAATAAAATAAAATCAATCAATCAATCAATCAATCAATAAATAAGCCATTCCATTGTTGTCATTTCCATCACAAAATAAATTGTGGAATAAATATGGTGGAAATTACATTTGTGCATGATAGTGCAGGGAAGACCTGTTTTAGGAGATTATTTTCCAAACGCACCCATACAGTAGTTGAAGAAACACCTTTACACACATGTACTGTAGATAAACTGATTGCATAATTGCTACAACCTATCAAATTGTCTCTGTCTCTCTCTGTCACACAGTATCAGCAAGTGTATGACGATGCCTTCATCAGTGCGGTGGTTATCTCGCTTGTCCTCACCTCATTTTTTGCAGTGGTCTATTTTCTCATCATTCCTCAGTATGTAAATCACACACACAATACCTGACACATCAACATAACACACCTTTTCTTTATTTGCCAGACACACTAAATTGATCACACATTTTAGATGCTCAGGTCACTGCATCACACAACACACATGCATATAACATCCTCTCTTTTTCTTTTTCTTTCCCTTGCTGCAGAGGTCTTCTGGTTGTGATTCTGCTGGTTCTCTGTTTGTGTTTCCACATGGCAAGTGTGATGTACCTTCACATCACTCATGTGCAGGTAACACTGGTCTCCAGGTTGGGGACTCTCCATAGTCATAATGATTTTTATATTGTACAAACTGTATTTTCTACCCCCTACCCCTAAACCTGTCCCTCATTCAAAACTTTCTGCATTTTTAGATTTTCAAAAAAGATAATTCATTCCCACTTTATATTAGGTGGCCTTAAAGGGTTAGTTCACCCAAAAATGAAAATTAGCCTGTGATTTACTCACCCTCGATGCATCCCAGGTGTATATGACTTTCTTCTTCCGTCGGAAAGGCTTCCGCATACAACAGATACCGGAAGTGAGAGAAAAGTGTTTATTATGTTTGAAATATGGATATTTTTCTTACAAAAACGCATAAATTCGCTACAGGAGGCCTTTATTCACCCCCCGGAGCCACGTGAGTCACGTTTTATTATGGATGCGCACACTTTATTTAACGTCTCTTGGACTGTTGAACAAAAACACCCGCCAACTGCAATGATAGAGCTTAGAAGTGCCAGGACAATTTTTAATATAAGGGTCAATATCACTGTAGGGTGCCTTTTGGTGTCCTGTACATAAGTAACTCATTTGCCATGATAACTTAACATAAAAATTACTATGAAAGGGTGTGTTATATTAGGCTAAGTTTTTATATCCATAACAAAAGCATAACTTGGCTTTTTATAGATTTTCTAGATTTTTTTTAGTTTTGTGTAAGAGGATGCGTGTCCCATGCACTGCTCATTAAATTTGAATGATAGTAGAATATTGTCAAATCATAAAATAAAATAAAAATGCTCCTATTAATAATATTTTGTTAAATAAGAGATTACTCAATTTGAGTGTATTGATCATTTGGTAATAAAAACTATATTTTTATTTAATAAAAAAGAAGAGTTTGTCCATGTCCCTTGAATGGTTGTCCACCCTGTCGTATTGGGGAATCCGCCCCTTTAAGAAAAGGCCATCCCCTTTAGTGACATCAGGACAACAGATTTTTTGTCTCTTCAGTGGCGGGAATTTCAACAGCTGAGGTGAGCAAGTTGGTGACTTTTCAATTGACAAATTTTCTTTGTATGACTTTGCTTACTTGCTTTGCCAAAGCTTAACATGTCCACCCTGTCAGCATTAAATATGCCAGACGTGATTAGAATACAGTATTTAAAAAATATGTAAGTTTAGATATACCAAATTCTCTTCAACAACCAAACTAAATATTTAACTAGTCACAGTTTGTTGTAATAGGCTAAGTTTTTATATTCATAACAAAAGCATAACTTGGCTTTTTATAGATTTTCTAGATTTTTTTTTGTTTTGTGTAAGAGGATGCGTGTCCCATGCACTGCTCATTAAATTTGAATGATAGTAGAATATTGTCAAATCATAAAATAAAATAAAAATGCTCCTATTAATATTTTGGTAAATAAGAGATTACTCAATTTGAGTGTATTGATCATTTGGTAATAAAAACTATATTTTTATTTAATAAAAAAGAAGAGTTTGTCCATGTCCCTTGAATGGTTGTCCACCCTGTCGTATTGGGGAATCCGCCCCTTTAAGAAAAGGCCATCCCCTTTAGTGACATCAGGACAACAGATTTTTTGTCTCTTCAGTGGCGGGAATTTCAACAGCTGAGGTGAGCAAGTTGGTGACTTTTCAATTGACAAATTTTCTTCGTATGAGTTTGAGCTCAAAATGTCCACCCTGTCGTTGTTGCAAAATGTCCACCCTGTTGGCCACTTAGATTCGATAGAGTGGACATAAACATGACAGGGTGGACATAGCATTCATTTGTAGTTAATATTGCTAAAAACTCAAATGAATGGGGGGTATATCAATGTGATTGAGGATGTAATTATATTATTTATTATTTTGCAATGAAAACGTATTTAACAGTAATATATATTTCCACGACAGGGTGGACATATCTTATGGTTTATGCTTC